GAGCTCTGGGTCACCCCTTGCTTCCCTCCTTCGCTGACTTCTCTGATACTGCTCTTACTCCAACCTGGGCAGACAAGGAGCTGCTCAGAGCCCTGGAGCAGGGCAGCTGCTGTGTCCTTAGCAGAGAGCCTCTGTCCATGGGCAAGTGCTGATGACAGGTTTTATCAAGCGGAACATCTGAGGGCAGGCAGGCTGTCCCCGAAACAGGGATTAGTTTTTTTTTTGGAAGCTCTCTGGTGGCAGGGGCCTTTAAGCTTTCACTTCATCATAGAGCTGCATTGAACCTCTGCCACTCTTAAGCCACCCAACTGGGTTTGCATTTATGGAACCAGTGAGTTTGCCATAATAAAATTCAGCAACATCCTAATTGCTTCCAATAATTTTTAAGATTTTTTTTTCTGTGTTATAATTGTACATCCTGGGCCTATGGTTATCCAATTTAAATGCAGGAGTTTTAAAACGGCACATCAAGCAGTATTTATTCTTATGGATGTTAAGAGTCACCAAGACTTCTGGGGTAATGCACTAAAACAACAGTCCAGTTAATTATTGGTGTGTTGCAGTGAGAGCCTCGAAGAATCCCAGTATTTATGGAGTGGCTGCCAATGCCAGATGAAGTCACTCCGATCATCCTCGCCAGCTGTTTGTTTTGTTGAACCACAGCGATTTCTCCAAGTTACTGAAGTTGATGTCATTGGAAGTGATGTGACATTTTTGCACACATATAGAATAAGTGTTAAAAAATGCTCCAGAAGAGCTTTTCCAGTCTTGTCTGGGAGTTGGTTGGGGAGTTGAATTAAACTGGCTTGATGGAACTTAATCCATAAAGCAAATGAGTCATCAGGCATAACTGGCTTTACCATAAATGTCAGACAGATTCGTCCTGGTCCTGATAGTTAGCACTTACATCTGTTTGGTGGAGCAAATAAAAGCCTCGCAATTCACAATCATTTTCATAAATGTGCTGTTCTGCCTCTTCCTCTACACGGGAAGCTCTAGGAATAAAGGTCAAAATGTGATTTATTCCCCTTTTTAAAAACTAGCTCTTCTGATGGATGAAATATCCATTATTTTCAGGCAAAAATTAACCTTTTTTTTTTTCCCTCCACTTCGAATTTTTTGTCAAACCAGGAAAGCACACCTGTGCCTTGCCTTTGCATGCTAAGAAGTACCCCAGATACTGGAGCCCTTTCTTGAGCCCTGTATGCCCAGACGTGCCTGATTTGTTCACATGCCCAAAGAAGACTTTACCCACTGTCTGCATGGCTGGCTGGGGCTGGAGGGCACTGTGCTGGTGACTTCGAAGTAATACCTGTGTGTTACTGACTTGCTCCTTGACTTAGATACCTCTTTACCTGAAAATAAGTCTTAAAAACCTAAATGACTTGGCTGGTAAAGTCTTTAAACCACTCTTAGTGTAATTTTCTCTCTCTTAGAAAGGCTTCATGGAAAATCCATAGCTGTTGCATGTGTGGAGGGAAATTAATGGTATCTTCGTTATCGCTGCTCTTGCTGAAAAAAGCAGATGCTGACATAGGAAGGAGAGAGGCTTGGGTGTTTTGTGTAACCATAACAGTGAAACAAATAGACGCTTGAGCAAGGAAAGGGAGCGGAGCTGGCTGCTGCCTTTGTCAGCCCGTGCCGGGGCTGGGGGCAGCTATCTCTTGGTGAAATTTATTAGCGGCAACACACTTGAGAGGACACAAAAGGCTCACGAACCTCCCAGCACGGCTTGCTCTATTTAAAGTCGGCTTTTTAAATCAAAGAAATGGGGCTCTTGACAGCAGAGCTTTGTGCATCTTTTGTGAAGTTCAGATAGTGGGGCTTTTTATTACAGGCTAAATTAGCCCATTTTATTGTTTTGCACTGAGGGATGAGGTCAGTTGACTGGGAATCTTGCTAACAAGGTTTTACTCCTGTCTGCTTTTTACAAGTGTTAACACGGGGTATCCACCAGTGCTGTGCACTTGCCGTTAACGAAACAAAGATGAATGGTCTAGCAACCCTGTGAGCTCTCCTCCTTCCCCCACCACTGAGCTGCTCAACCCATGTCAGTGTACTTGAGCTCAGATGCTCCCTGGGGCTCTCATTCCTTCAAAAATTGGGTGCGTTGCTTTTCCTTCTGATTTTGCATGCTTGCGTGCTGCTGCTGGAACAACAAGAAAAGGATGAACTTTGCTGGGCAGTGTGATTGATTGGGTTTGAAAAGGAAATGGGAAAATAGTAGGCATGTTGAATGATGCTCACGAAGCGTGGTGAGCTCTGAAGGAGCTGTCTGATGTGGCTCACGCTTTTTCCTGGCACCCTTTGCATACCAAATTTGTTTAGTTACGTGCTGATTTTTCTCAGGTTCTTGACCTAGAACTAGCAGGAAGCTTCCCTTGTTCGTCTTCCCCCGCTCACTCAGCAGCAACTGTTGGGCCAACGCTGTCCTTGGTGTGTTGAGTGAGCCTGGGGTTTCTGCCATGGCCCCAAGTCTTCAGCCTATGGCTCCTGGGACTTGCAGGGGATGTCTCTCCAGGTACTCACAGGTACGGCCAATGCCTTGAGCCCTCAGACCCAGAGGATGCTCAGCTCCTGTTGTGCTGCAGGGAAGCAGGGTGGGATTGAGCCAGGATTTCTCCCCATCTATAGCTCAGGAGCTGCCATCAGCTGAGACTAAAACCAAACTTGGCTTTAGCAAATTCTCTTCTGCTTAACCTTTTGCACTGTGTTTAGCCAACATGCCTTTCTCTGCTTTATCTATTCCTCAAGGAAACACAGTTTTAGTCCTGCTCACTTACAGGATGCAGACTATCAGCTCTCCTTGAGGTGTAAATCCAACCTTATCAGGAAGAAAAAGCTTTCAGCCTTCCTTCTTTGCCTCTCGGAGACAAGCACCCAGTCTCCTTTTGTGGCTGTTTTATTTCAGCTTATCCTAGCAGTGCCAGACACTCCCTGTAACCCTATGGAAACTGGGGGGCTTTGACCACTGAAGTTAGAGAAGGGCATAAATGGCTTAACTCGGGTGTCAATGAGGGGCAGGGGTGGTTGAGGTCCTGTGTGCAGAAATAGCAACTGGAAAGACACCAACTTCAAGCAAATTGCCTTGGCCAGGCTGGGCATCCTCCACTGGAGGGAGCTCCAAAGGGGCAGCCTGTTTTGTTGCTCTGAACTGCCTTTGAGGACAGGGATGACAACATATGGTGTGAGTAACCCCATAACAGCCCCCAGCTCCTTCAAGTATCTGCTCAGGGCTGGGCGCTGTCCTCTAGGTCACACCACGGCCAAGTCCCCATGCAGGTCACGCTGTCATGTGGTGGCCAGAGCTGACTGAAAATGGGAAAGTTCTAAGAGACAAAAACTTTGGCATTTTCTGTTTTCTCAATACTGCATCCCCGTTGTTCATGGTTATGTTAAAAAAGAAAAAGCCAGAACAGTAATGACAGAACTGATCTACAGATTTATAAAAAAAAAAAAGGGGGAAAGGGAAGGAAAGACTATTTTTCTTAAAATAGAAACTTGAAAACCACTTTGCAGATGTTTCTGTTAATTTTGTAAAGGTTATTCACAGGAAACAATGACTAATAAGCTTAAACCAACACTCAATTTTAGGGTAATTTGTGTAGCATCTGAGAGGTGCCCATATGTTACGGTGAGCTGCTGCAGAGATGGATGTGATAACCTGGAAATCGAGGACGGAAACCCCAGGCAGCCATAAGCTGCCCCTGCCCCTCGGAGCTGGGCAGGATGCGGCCAGGTCCATGTGGTCCTTGCAGCCTTTTTTCCTGGTGGAAAAAATCCTGCCAAAAATGTAAAGAGCAATTTTTTTTAGAAGTCTGGTATGTGTTCATGGGGGGCTGAGCTCCCCATGGACCCAGCGGCACCCGTGGCTGGACCGTGTGCGGCTTGCGTGCGCGAAGACAGATTTGGCCCATAAGTTCAAAAATATCCTTTGGTTTTCCACGGAGCTGTTTGCTGGCCTGGCCAGGCTCCCTTCAGAGCTTCTGGTTCCTATTATCTGCCCAAGTCATCCTCCCACTTTTGCTGTAATGCTCCTTTTTCCCTGATGCCTTAGCCATGTTTTTCTATTATTAAAAAAGATTTCCTCCCCCCCCCCCCAATTAAAGTATCAGCTCTAATAATCCAAATAGTAAAATCTTGTCTTATGTAACTGTCTACTGAATAAGCTGGGCTTTGGCATTATGGTTAAGCAGTGTGGTGGTTCTTTAGGAAACTTGAGTGATTTCTGCTCTGGCCTTTGGGCTGTGGCCATGCTGCGCTTGGTGCACGAGTGCTCTGTTAAGCAGCCTCGGTGCCTGATGAGCTGGCTCTGCACCTGGTTTTCAATAAGCCACTGCAAACCCCCTCCCTCTTTTCTCTTTTTCTGATTATCAGATACATTTCTAATCTCTTTCTATGTCTGCCGCACTGTTGTGGGTGGAAAATCGAGGTGAGGCAAGATGTAGAAACTGGGGAGACAATGTCTTTTATGAGATCAGCTGATGGGGTCGGAGAAACAGAGAAGTTTTGAGGCTAATAAACAGCTTTTTGGACTGGGCAGAGCAATTCTAGAGCCCTGCAGAGCTGCGTGGGACTGGGCAGGAAAGGTTTTTTTTTTATTGTCCAGAGGACACTGCTGCTTTGGGGTGTGTAAAGCCCTCTTCTCTTATTTTTACTGTACCCGGGGCTGTCAGCGCTGTTGTATTGTAGGGGTGGGGGTGATCTCTCTGCAGATGCAGTTATCTTTTGGGAAGGTGGAGTTGGGACCGGGCATGAAGTGCGGTGGCTTCACACCTTGTGGAGCAGCCTGAGATAAGCAGCTGCTTGACCTGGCCCTGGCCACGGAGGGTTTTTTGCCTGGCTCGTCTCAGGCGACATGCCCGTGTCAGGGAGGTGGCTCTGCCAAGTGGTTTGCTTTTCACTTCTTGGTGGTGTTTATCCCCTTGACTGCAGTCTCAGGCTGGTGGCCCCATGTGCACCATCCGTCCCCATGACGCTCTGTCCTTCCTTCCCCGCAGGGTGACATCCAGCAGCTCCTGATTGTGGCGGACCCCCGAGCAGCCCACGATTACTGCGAACACTACAGCCCCGACTGCGACACCGCCATCCCCGACTCCCCCCAGTCCCAGGACCCCAACCAGGATGAATACGTAAGTCTCTTGCAGGGTTTGGGGATGCTTTTGGGGCAGCAGCATCCAGCTCCGTACCACGGTTGCAAACTCGCTTGGCTTCTTCCTCCTGTTCAGCTTCCCTGCGATTCATCTGTAAGGACCAAGACAGAGCTTGTTTTTAGGAATTCCAGGTTCTGGTTTTGGCTCTTGCCCGCAGGAGTTTCCCTTCCTTTCTGTACTCCTGCTGTTTCCAGAGACTGAAATGAATATTTGCTTGGAGCTCAAAAACTTACAGGAGAGATGACCTGAGCAGAGTGTGAAATGCTGACCTTCCCTGGCAGGTCAAATCCTGTCCAAAACAGGCAGCTGCTTCTAAATTTCAAATTTTACTGTTGAACTTGCAAAAAGATTAAGTGGTTCTTTTTCAGTATTCTTTGAAACAACAGGTGTTAAAGGAGGGGGAAACATTTTTTTTGCCCCTGTATTTGACATTTGAATTTCATTTTGGCAGAAATGTTCCTAGCTTATCTGTATAAATTGCTGTGCTCAGTATTTTTTCTACAGAGTTAGCCTCAGATCTTTTCTTTAAAAAAAAGAAAAGACTGATACAGGACACCTTTTTCTTTCTGCTGCTCAATTAGAAATGTCTGGGTGTGGCTGATTTCCAGAAGAGCACCACCTGAATTTTACACCTTTTTAAGAGGTTTCAGGCTTAGCTCACAGCAATTAAAGTGTCTGGCATCCTCAGCAGCTTCTCAGCATCTTGGCTGCTCTCTTGGTCTGATTTGCCAGTCCCTGCACTCTCTTGCTTTCAGCTGGTCTGTCAGCCTGCTCCAGCTTAGCTTTAGGACTGAATTAAAAACCCCAGCCTAGCAGAGCTTTGGGGAGCAGAGCGATGCTCGCAGGCAAGGCTGCCCAGCCCCGGCGAAGTGCCGTAACTGCTCCGCCAGCACTTCTGGAGAAACAATAAATAAGTAAAATAAAATAGACTTTGGTATGGTCAAAATACGTGGTAGTAGGAAAATTAAACTCTTCTTTCGGAGCCAGCAGTTCAACAAGGGCTGGCTTGTCTTAGGGCTGTGTTGCTCCGTGTAAGAATAACTCTTCCACGCGCCGGCATCTGCTGCCAGTGAGAGCGATGGATTGGTGAAGAAATGTGCCATGCCCGGCTGTAACCAAATGTTTTGTTTGTATTTCATTTTGAAGAATGACTGACGCCTTGTGGAAAACACTGAAAATATCTTGTTTTCAAAGCCCTTCTGCCTGCGGGCTGCGGGTGGATGGGAAGTCACACGGATGCTATTAGTGCAGTTGGATGAGGGAAAATAGCATCCCCGCTTCTCAGAGCGGCTGTGCGATTCAAGTGTTTTCTTCCCCTCTCTGAATATGTCAGATGTGTGACCTTGGGGAGGTCTCAACAATCTGAGGTTAGAAAAAAAAAATAATGGTTTTTCTTTTCTTATTGTGTTGTTATGGGTGGCTGAATTGCTGTAGGGTAGGTCCATCCTCTCTGTTAAGGGAGAACCTGCCACAGGACTAAGAGGTGATTGTGAACCCCCTCAAATCACAGCCACTGCCAAAGCAGCCCAAAGCCAGGCTCTTAGTGAATGTTTCATGATGAACAAGAGGAAGGGAAAGATTTCACTGCATCACGGCATGGCCCCGTTGACACGAAATAATGTCTAAAAGAGCTGGCAGGAATGTGCTTGGGTGCTGCCAGCTTATTTTCTGCTTCTCATCTTCTCTTTGCAGTACACCGATGGGGAGGGAGAAGGTGATACCTACTACTATGAGTACCCCTACTACGAAGATGTTGATGAAGCTGTAAAGCCAGAAGCACCCACCACCAAACCCAGCACTCCTGAAGTGGCTGCTGGAGAGAGACCTGAAACCAAGCAGGTACCGACACGGGGTCTCGGCAAAGATGTGTTTGATAAATGGCCCTTTTATAGGGGGGAAGGTGGAGGATAATGCAGAATTTTCTTTGTTTTTCTGATTGTGGCGTTTTATTTCTGCAATAGGACTATCCTGCCCCCACGCCATCACCTGATAGAGGGGACCCCGGCAAGAGGACGGAAGGGGATGCTGTGGTGGATGACCCCCTTGTGGATGAGTACAACTATGAAACCACTAACGAGGAGTACTTCACGCCTCTCCCCTATGAAGATGTCAACTACAACGAAGAAGTAGACCCCCAGGGTGGACTCACTGAAAACGCTGTGGAAGCTGAACTCCCCACGAGTACCGTCATCACCTACAATGAGACTGATGTAATTTTAATGAATTTTTTTCCTTTTGCTTTTTGTTTTCTAAATTCTGGTACTTCATAGCTCTAAGAGCAAAGGAGATGTGATCATCCATATGGTAAATCTGTAAGTGGTTTGGGCAGCTGTTGGAAGAGGAAGTTTGTTGTAAAATATTTTCACTCCAGATATTTTAGGGTGTGGAACACAGATATTTAGAATTTGGTTAAGGATTACTCCCCTGGAAAAATCTGTTCATATTGATATCTGCATTTCCCTGTGTGAAGTGCTTGTGTGACAAAAAAAAAAATGAAAGTTGGTGTTAAGATCTAAGTAAAAGCATTTTATTTTAAAGCTATTAATATAAATCCTTAAAATATTGATTTGATGGAGAACATCAATATTTTTCATTTTGTCATCCCCACTGAATAACATCTTTAATTTAAAAAAAACCCCCAAACATTTCAACACTGGGACAAACCCTTGCTTTCCAACTACTGCATTCACCCAGAGAGAGCCCCTCCGTGTTGTGCACAGATCTGCTCAAAGATGAGATCAGTCCAGATCCCAGAGCTGATGTTTCTGTTGGAGCGATTACATTTTTAGTTACCCATGCTTTAATATGCTTCAACTGAAATACATTGCACTTGAGACTCTTTAATCCTTAAGACTTGCCTAGTTCTTGCCTTTTTATATTGGTGCTTAAATAGGGGAACGTTGGTCTCTTCCTTAGATGAGACTGGGATCAATTGTTGTGTAGCTCACTATGCAAGGAAATAACTGCGCTAGACAAGGCAAATTCTTCGTTATCCCGGAGCAGCAAGGGGAGTCAATAGTGGGATAACGTTTTCTGGGAGGTAGGATGGGACGTGGCAGAGTTTTTTGTTGTTCCTCCTCAAATGGAAAAGAATTACTTAGCTATGGGACTGTCAAAATTCAAGGCTTTCTGGGAGGTGCTGGAGGGGTGGCAAAAGAGACAGTGAAAGTTGGCCAACATATTTGGAGTTGGACCTGGAAGCTTGAATGAAATGGTGTCGGGGAAAGTGTCCAAGCAAAGAGCTGAGCAGCTGGAGCGAGGCGGGAGGGGAGCCAGCTGCCCCGAGGGCTGGTGGCGTGGCGGGGATCGAGTCCAGCCAACCGGGGATAAAAAATGTGGTGGAGGAGGAGGTTGAGCAGCCCAAAATGATACACGGAGAGAAACAGAAAAGGTTCCAGCGTATCGAGGAAGCGAGCGCCAACCTGAGGGAACCCATCGATGGGAAACTTTTCTGTTTCCTGACAAAGAGCCAGAAATCTTTGGCCAAGCTTGAACTTTCTAATAGAGAGGAATTAAAGATTGGATAGCATGACCTTAAAAAAAAATTGGAAGCGGAAATAAGAGGCTCAAGGGCAACTTTAGTTGTTAGGAAAAGGAAATAGAAGAGAAGGAAAGTTCAGGTAGGGAAACACATGGTGAAGCTCTCCTATGTGAAAGCTCAGCAAAGCATCTTGTGGGGAGAAGGAGCAAACTGTCCGCCTCCAGCGGCTCCAAAAGAGACAGCGTGTAGGTGGGGAGGGCTGTAGGGTGCTCCTGGGGTGGGAGGCTGTGAATCTTTTAGCTGATGAGCAGAGAAAAGGACACAACTTGTCTGGCTGAAGGAGATTCCCGCGCACTGAGGCGAAGGCTGATGCAGTGTGACATAGGGAAGACTCCCCAAAGTGCCAGCCTGAGGGACAAATACCCAAGAGGATATGGATTTGAGGTTTACACCTCGGAGTGGGAACCAAGGGCCCTGCCTGCAGCCATGAACTCCTGGGGAAACCGAATCCTTTAATCCAGCAGCAGACCAAGCTGCTTTATGAGCAATATGGAAGTGAGGATCAGGAACTTGTGTGTGTAATTGCCTGCCTAATACCTGTTACTAGAAACAGGGTTTCAAAAAAAAAAAAAAAAAAAAAAAAAAAAAAAAAAAAAAAAAAAAAAAAAAAAAAAA